CTAAGGGTCGGGCAGGCAGCGCCTTGGGAACTTCTTGAACATTTCGGCAGGTAACGAACCAACGGTACCAAGACCCAAAGAGTGCTGGGTGACGGTATGGCCGGCCTGCCCAGGGGGTAATGACATGGCGGCCTGGGAGTGGCCCAGATTCAGCACCGGGGCTTGCTGAGTCCAAATTTATCAGCTTATCGTTCAGAACAGGCAAGCAAAGTCGCTATGGCGTTGCACCTCAGGATGGGTGCAAGGGACGTGAGGGAGGCTCTCGCAAAGCTGGACGCAGGCCCATCTCAAAGCAGACTGGAGGAGCTTCGCAGCCTGGAGACTGATCCTCTCAGTCCTCTTCGCTTCGCCCTTGCTGACAAGTACTCGCCGCTCCTCAAGGAACTTACCACACTGATTGAAGATTACTTGTCGCTGGCGGCCAGGCTTGAGGGAGTCGAGTCTGCGATGGTGGCAAAGAGCGTTGCGTCTTGGGTGTTCCACACGAATAAGCTCGAGCACGTTGGAACTGAGTCTCTGGGAGATACGGAGGCTATCATTGCAAGCAGACTGCCGTCGCTCTCGACAAAGGAGGAGAAAGCAGTGATGCGGACCTTTAGCCTCCTGCAGGGGTACTCTCCCACAAGCTTTCGGGCAAAGCAGCCATCGCTTTTTGTCTCATTTGATCCGCTCCGCATCAAAACCTGGCATCTCAAATTGGTTGACTCTGTTGACGGCCACGTTGGGGAGTTTCGGCAAGATGGTCGCTTCACGACAAGGCTGGACGGGACGCAGCACTTCTTCCCGCACCATGATATACAGGAATGGTCAGTTCAACGCTTGTGCCAGATCGTGCACAGTTTGCTCAAGAGCATCCCCAACCAAATTCAGGGACACGAGGCGCGCATGGGCATGTGTTTTGCGCTAGCGGCGTTCGCGCAGTACCATTTTGTTAGCCTGCATCCCTTTGAGGATGGGAACGGCCGCATCTGTCGGCTTTTGAGCAAGAAGCTGCTGGAGTGGGTGTTGCCTGTCCCATTCCCAATGTTTCTGGACAGGAATACCTACAGGAAGGTTCTGGAGGAAGGTGACAGAGCCTCCGATGCTCAGACCGCGCCCATCCCTCTCTTTGAGCTCCTGCTGGATTCAGCAATCGCGCACTTCAAGTTCCTCCTCTCAGCCTATGGGGACCTGCAGCCCTCCGATCTTGTGGTCGCAACGAACCTGGAGCAGTTGCAAGAGGTGGCACGCAAGATTGGTCTGAGTGACGAGTCCAGCGCAGAGCTTGTGAGGGAGTTCTCCAGGCTGGACGACTTTGGCACGCAGGCGTTGGTGCTGGAGGACCGGACAATACGGCTGAAGCGGTACCCCGAGCTGGACTTGGATCGGATCTGACGCAGTAAGTTTGCTTCAGTGGAGCCTGTTTAGTGGCAGCCGATTGCAGTTGGTGTTACTGGCTGCTGTTTGGAATTCGAAATCTCCTGCTTCATAGGTAAATCCTGTGATTTCCGTGGAGTTATTGTGCAATTGCACTGCAGTTCTGACCTTGGTGGCTTCTTTTCTTGTGCTCACATAAGTATAAGAACGCTGCAGAGCTGACGTTGACCTGTCTCGTTCTGATGCATATTTGACTCCTTTGTCAAACTCTGGAACTCCATGTGTGATTTTCCTTTTCTAACAAAGGGGTCCAGCAGTGAGTACGCAAGGCCTAGGATAGTCAAGGCTGAAGACATGTTTTTAGGCCGCAGTCTTCTGTCTGAAAAGGATGGGTAAGGGGGGGTGGGGAGGAACAAGGAGAAGAAACAAAAGAAGAGCTATCGAAAGACTTCAGAGTTTGCTGCAAGAGCTCAAGGTGCCCTCCCTGTCTGGAGGGTGCTCCAGACATTTGATCACCGCAAGGCCCACCCATCAACAATCTTCTGAAGGACACTGTTGCAGCAGGACAATCCTATGTCCGGATTGCAAGAGCGATCCTTGTGGCAGTCCTGTGGATGCCCTTCCTTGGCAAGCTCTAAAGGAGACCACCGCGTCCTTTGTTTGAAGCTGTTTCGGATGGCACAAGTCTTGTCTGCAGATCAGTGGTATTGACAGAAAATGGCAGGGTGGATTTCCTAATGCTATTCTTGCATTTGAGGGCGACTGAGGGGTCGTATTGAGAGAGAACTGGCTGCAGGCACATGTCTTTCTTCTGAGCCATTCTGCTGTTCGACCCTTAAAGAATGACGGATTTCCACGTTGGTGCAAATGGCCTGCAATGCCTGCTCTTGGCAGTTTGTTACCGGCCTGAGAGAGCTTCTGTTTGCAAAACCCTGCTCACTTGCTGTCACCCTTCACACTTCATGTGCACTCTTTCTCTCTTGTGACCAGAAGCTCTTTGTTGCCTAGTCAGACATTTGTGTCTCTTGACATGCTGTTGGCGGACTTCTCTGTTAGAGTTGCTGCTTAGTGTGGTCCATTGACTAGATCTTGCAACCAAAGTCACAAAAAAGATGCACATTCACAGCTCTCGGTCTTGCAGGTATCCAAGTTCGGAGTGAGTTACTTTCATGGCAGAAGCGGACTAGGACGGTGCAGCTTAGTGCGGATTCAATGTACGACGCAAATGGGGAATGGAGGGCAAGTCGATGCCAAGGTAGTGCTCTCACTAGTAGACGCACTTTCGGGACATGTCTCAAGGAGCATTCCAAATTGTTTAGTTTTTTCCGCCCAGCTGACATTCTTTGTATACATACATTCTATGTCCGCTTGGTTGGGTCCTTGACTGCATGGATCTTTACAGTCGTGCTACTAAAAGCCACTGTACGCTTGCATCATGCACAATGTATTGGCAGCAGCCAGCATTCTGGACTGCAGTGCTTGTATGTCGCATATTAGATAATTGTCTGCAATTTTGCTGATTAACAGTGCGAATCGACTGTACATCGGAGCTTCAAAGGCTGGATGCATTTTGACTCGCGTTCGCTATTGACTACAACGTGCCATAAAGTCCTGAAAGCAGAAAGTCTTGGGCAGGGTTGGCATGCATGCAGTCAATTCGCACTGCAGTTCACTATACATCGAAGTTTCAAAGCCCGTACATTTTGACTCGCGTCTGCTTTCGACCGTCTATAATGTGCCAGAAGGTCACGAACGTGCCAGAAAGTCTCATGCATGGTCGGCAGTCAATTTGCACCAACTGACTATACATCGAAGCTTCAAAGCGCGTGCATTTCGACTCGTTGTCCCCAAAGCTTCGTGCGCTGGCAGTGTCAGTCAATTTGCAACAAGTAATTGTACATTAACACTTCAAAGCGCGTGCATTTCGACTCGAGTCTGCTATCGGCTGAAACGTGCCAGAAAACCTCGGGACATGGTCGGCAGTCAATTTGCACTACTTGCCTATACGTTAGACCTTCAAAGCGTGCATTTTGACTCGTGTCTGCTATCAACGTGCCAGAAAACCTCGGGCAAGAGCCAAAGTGCCACGGACAAAGTTTACGGTCTGACTTCTGCAAAGGGCCGATCAAGTGCGTCGATCAAAGTTGGCCTGATCAATGTGTCACTAATACCTTTGTCCCCAAAGTGATAGCTGGTCAGTCGCTCCCTCGCTTTCTTGGGGGCCCTTAGCCACCAGCTAAGGGCCGGGCCTCATCGTGTACAGCTGGGCTCGCAGGCGCAAGGCTTGCGGTAGTCCTGCTCGCTCCATAGGAGGCCCTCGCTGGTTGCTGCAGCCCCTCCTGGTGGGCCTGCTTGATCAACGTCAGAACCTTCTCGAAACCGTGTTGCAGGCCCGCATCTAGAATGCTCGCCAGACCCTCGAGCCCTGCCATAGCTGCATGCATGTCCCCAACCCAGGCCGCCTTTGTCCAGAGAAGGCCGACGGGCCCGTGCTCCTTCTTGGCATGCCGGCACACGAACCCCGCCACCTTTCAAAAAATGCGGTGGTCTCTCTTCGAGTTGGTGAGAAAGCCTCGCGACGCGCGCGCCACGAGCTTGATTGCAGACCTCGGAAGAGCATCCCTGCGGGATGCATTGGAAGTATCCTGCAGGAGAGTGCAGCAACACATTAGGAATCCTCATGTCGCATGAAGCAGACAACTCAAACCCGAGTGCGACAGCAAGTGAGGCGTCCCATGAGGATCAGTCAATTCGCACCGACCTTTGCTCACACTTGCGCATCTCAACAAGTGCACAGACTGTCCCCTTAAATCCACCACAGGCAGGGATTGGCTGAGAAGCACAGTCAAAAGGCACCAGCAATCTTTACATATGAGCTTGTAGAAGAATGCATTTTGACTGAACCTTTCAATCAACCACAGCCGAAGTGGAGGGAGGGCAAGGCTGGAGGGTGCAGTCAAAATGCACGGTTAGTCTCTACATAGCTTTTCATAAACGTGCAGATTGACTGCCTCTGCTTCTATCCACCAGAGAGGCACGCAGGTGGGGCGACGACTGAGAGACGCAGTCAAAATGCACCAAAGTACTAAACATTTGAGCTTCGAAGGCAGTGCAAATTGACTGCCTTCTTGCGATCAATCACAAGAAAGCGCAGAGTTGGGGGCATGGCTGGATACGCAGTCAAAATGCATGTCTGATCTAGACACTCAGCTTCTCTGAAACATGCAGATTGACTGCCTTGACGAATTATGACAACTAGTACAGTGGGTTCTGGCGATGACTAGACCATCTCACTCACGTGCTCGTGTCCGACCCTCAATTCGTTGTGGAACTCCAGTGGCGCAACCCGATCAGGACGCGCCCGCCTAGATACTTGAACTTCCTGCAACACCAAACACGCATTGTCAGAGAATCTATACATTGAGTATTTCAGCATACTGCAGATTGAGTGAAGGTGTGCCCACAGCCGGAGACGTAGCCAGAATGCACAATCAATCTAAACAAAAGATTTCTCTTAAACGTGCAGATTGACTAAATCAGTTCTACAACCACAGAGGGAGCGCAGTGGTGGCCACGGCGGCTGAGGGGCGCAATCAAACACACATTTTGTGCAGACAATCAGCTCTTCAAATCGTGCATACTGACAGACTTCGTTGTAGCAACCAAAGCACCCACTCACTTGCATCTCGGCATATGGTGAGTCGCCGCTCCTCGCCACTGTCCGCCACTCTGCCGTTCGCTTAGTTAACTCCTCTTAGGTGACCTTGTGCTGGTCGCTCACGCTTGAAGCCTAATCTGAAATCATGATCTGCAAAGTCAATGCATGCAAATTGCGTCAGTGCCTCGCAACACCTTTCCAAAACGCCTTGAAGTCATGCAAATAGCGATGGGTTTTCCCCAAACAAGACCCACCAACTCCACACCTGACAGAAACTTCCAGGGCTGCAAAAGAGCCCCGACCATGACCCTACAACGGTGGCCTCTCAATTGGTCCCCCAGCAGGCAGCTCTCTTCTTTGGGTCTGATTTAAAACCTCCAAACGCATGCATGCAAATCAGCCCCTCCCTAGAACTATCCTAAAAGCCGCAGGAGGCGAAGCTGAAATCAGCCCTAAGCACAACTTTTGCAACAGAGGGGCATCGATTACCGCAGACCCCCGCTGATTTTCACCGGACCAGAGCGCCCGCTAAGATCAGCGGAACAGGTCCCCGCTGTCCAGCAGACCAGCACGCCCGCTGACCTCAGCAAACCCCCGCTGATTCAGCGTTTTAAACGCCAGCTGTTAAGCGAACCAGAACGCCAGCTGAGCTCAGTGTATGCCCGCTGACTTCAGCGGACGCCCGCTGATTTCACGGACAGCAGGCTCATTTTAGGTTGATGCTCAGGCCACTTAGGGGTACAGCTCAAATACAAGCACCAAAACTTCCGGCTGCCTGCACACAAAACGTGCACAAAAGGTGGACTCCCCTTTGTGGAGACCCTGCTTTCCCGGTTGGCCCGCCTCCTTCTCTTCAAGTTCTGTTTCTCTAGATTGCAAGCTATGACAAGAGAGTTGCGTCGTCAGCTTGCCCAAGTGAAAACCAGCGACGCCACTTGGCCAAGGGGCGCCAAAGCCCACTGCCTTGCCAAGATGTCTCTGAAAGCATCTCAAGATGTATCTGGAACCATGTCAAGCTGTCAAGGACTCTGCTTAGCCACATGGCAGCCAGGGGCATCGTGGACTGCAGAGGTTCGCCAAGGAGCGCCAAGATGTGCTGATATCCACCAAGGGCCGCCATGATTGCGAGTTTTCGCCAATGGCCGCCAATGCCAGCTCTTGATCTTCTTCCTGGCAGCTCTTGCAGAAGCTCAAAGCTGGCAACTAGGCGCGGTTGCTCGCATCCAAGCTGAGAACGGTTTGCCACTGCCAGCAGACTGCGACTGCGCGCGGTAAGGGTCGGGCCGGCAGCGCCCGGGGAACAATATTTTTTACACTGGGGCGAGC